AATTTAAGATATATATAAAAGTGTCAGACCTTCCGGAACATTTTCAAAAGTTAAGTTGAAAAAGTTAATTTTTTGTGAAAAAGTTGTCATTTTAAATCCCCCCCTGTGGGTAGAAAAAAGGTTGAATTTACAAAAAAAGTATACCAAATGATAGGTAAAGACATCAAGCATCTATATAAAAAAAAATTATATTGATATATTCATTTTTGAAAAAGTTACGGCAGTTTTTAGTAAAAAAAATTGAAAAAATTTCGAAAATTAGCGATTTTTAAATTTGTAATTTTTTTGGAGATTTCCCCCATTTACGGGGAACGAGGGAAATTTTTTCAATTTTTGAGGGTAATGTCTTCGACTAGATACGATTTGTGATCTTTTGATGTATCATTGAAAGAAATCGGTTCGGTGAGACTGAGAAAAAGTAGTAACAGACACAAAAAAAACACATCATAGTAAAACCAATACCTTCTCAGCTTCGCATCGAAGCTAAAATTGACATCTGGTTTTGTCTTCATGGTGAAAATGACTGCTGTATTTAAAAATATGCTATTTTTGTTGTTAAAATTCTGGGTTTTGTATTTTATTTTAAAATATCTTACAAGGGGAGTACATAGATTTTCATAAATATTATATAAATCTAATCAACATAGCATAGAAAGTTAAACTTATTTAAAATTTTTTACTTCTTTTAAGTCGAGAAAAATAACTTTGTAATTTGAACTAGCTTAAATTACCATTTTTTTGGTCGATGGAAACGACGTACGGTTGCTGAGTCGATAACACTTGTGCCTTACGCGCTTAGGGTACGCTTAGGTTCTATAGGTATGAATTTTTTCTTAACTCTTTTTGAGTTACAGAAAAATTTTTAATTATCTAAATATCAATTATTGATATTTATCTCATTAAGATTCAATAACTTCAATAAAGATCAAAGATCCCATTTAAAATACAATATAACCAGTTTATTATGTGATAAAATCTAATTATTGTAGAGATTTTTAAGTAACGCCTACATTCAGGGCCCCACTATAATTAAACAATTAGTATAGAAATCATCAGCTTCCATGATCACGCTAGGGATCGCTGGCCTTCCCCCTTCGGACAATGAAAAAGCCATTTTTCCCCGTCTGAACCAGTTCTTTCGGCGATTTTAAAATACATAAAATCTACGACACTCTACTCAAGATTTCACTCTCCGGGACTTAGTTGTTTTAGCTTCGATGCGAAGCTGAGAAGGTATTAATTTTACCATGATGTGTTTATTTTTTTATTTATTT